TAGTCAAAAGCAAAGAAAGTTTCGTAATAATCGAGCATTTTTTTACAGTGAATGGTTCTCATCAGGGATATCTCGTATTTTCGATAGTATGCCAGAACCGCATAATACCGAAATAGGTTATTTACAAACTTCTTATTATTTACAAACCACTCCTTGAATTATCATTTGCAAATTAATTACAAACCACTTTTTTCTGGAAAAAAAACACGATCTAATTTGGTACTCCTGTTCTCGAGTTATTAGCAAACATACAGACAGACTTTTATACGTATAGAGATAGGGTGATAATTTTTCCTCGAATTGACTGCAGCAGACAATGCAATTGTACTAAAAGAATGTAATTACAAATGAATGTAATTGTAAACGAATGGAATTGTAATTGAAACGTAATTGTGCTAAAAGAAATTCTTAAAAATATGTTGTGTGAAATTAAAAGCATATTTTCTTGCTGAAAATTTTAAGAAAGCAGCTAATTCTGGGAAAATAGTATAAAAATATTGTTTGTGAAGTTTTGGCTTCAATTTAAGCATTTACTACTATAATTGTTAAGAATTTATGAAAATTAATGAGGTAATTGTCAATGATAATTAACAATTATCTTTCAAATTTCTGTTCGCACGTGAGAATAAGGACATAACTTAATTGCATTTGATTATATAATAAAAAATATAATTTTTGGTAAGCCCAACATATTTTTTACTTTTGTTAGCTTAAAAGCTTAAATATGTATAGAGATGCTTCACATTACAGAGCATTAACAGCCTCTGGAATACCTCTACAGGATGTGCTTTTTTTCAACTTTGTTAATTCAAATAACTTTATTATTCAACTCAAATTACTTAGTTATTTAATTCTAACTACTAAAATATTAAAATTATACACTTCCGAATTACTCACTTAAAATTTTATTTATTTTCTTCATTTGGGATACTAAGTGGAATAACTGAACAAGTATTGATTTCAAAATGCATACAATCTTCGGAAAATCTAATAAATTAGTGACGTGTGTCATTTTAAGTATTCAATTGACATAGAAGGAAGTATCAATGACTTCTAAAATTCCTAAAAATTTTCTTTTCTTTCTGAAGTATTTTATAAAAACTACTTAAATATTCAATTTAAATTACTCATTCAATTAATAATATATAGATGAATGATAATGTATGGAAAAGAGGAATGAGAATAGATTAATGATAATGTATGGTTTAGAGGAATGANTGGTTGCTCACTACGTGCTCTTGCGCGCCGAATCCAATCAATTAAAAATGAAAACTGTTGCCAGCGCGAGAAAAGAAATATCATCGGTTTTATTGATACATACATACATACATACGTACGTATTAGCGTTTTATATAATATAGATTAATCTTTACATTCATTTGACGCGCTTGATTGGTAATTAAAATATACTTTTGATTGCCCACCAGTTTTATGGAACTTTCTTAAGCCAAGAAGGAAGATTTTTCAACATTAAAAACTTTTCTTTTTTTAATATTGAGACCCAGGAATGAAGACTTAACTGAACTAAATCCTAAATGTCTGTACTCTAGTATATAACGTACGTACATTTGGGGCATCAATCGGATGTTGGTATCCAACCTCTCATCTTCTGCTTATCGGATGTAAGCAATATGCGTTAGTGACTGCTTTTTCGAGTTATCACTCACACAAACATTAACACCCATGAATAATGAGTACGAATTTTAATATTGCAATGCATTTTCATTAACCTATCGCGATATTTTCCCAATTAAGAGAAATTATATTATTTTTACGTTGGTGCCAATTTTTTTCTTATCCAAGTAAAATTTAGCCGCATTCTTAACCCTTTGGTTACGGTGTTCCATTTTGTACCATCACATGTGTTCCACATGCTGTACCAGCCGTAAGCAAAATTTTAATAATATCGTTTTCAATAACTATCGCTTTGTATAATATTTGCGATATTATCATATTCTATGCATCTATGTATATTATCGGTAGCCAGTGACCTGTGTAGGTCAGAACCTGGAGCTGTTCTACTTGTTTATAAACTTGTCTATATAGTACCAATAACAGATAAGTACTGATTTTTACTTAAAGTTATGATATTTTCATTTAAAGGATAGTAATGTAAGTTTGAGAATTTAAAATTCGTGATCCAAAAAAGATGTTAAGAACAAATTATTGCTATTAATAGTTGTTATTAAATTGTTTTAGTTTTAGACTCTAATAAATTTAAACGCCCTGAAATTGAAATGTCGTGTATACGAATAAAGATGAACATTTTTCTGTTTGACATTATCACTGACGGTTAAATATAGTTATTCATCAATATTCAATCACTTCTATTAACCTGCATATTTGTTTCTTGCACGCTTTACTTCTGCACTTAAACTTTGAGTTCTACGAGCTTTTAAACTGTATAAATTTTTTTGTGGTTTTCGTCTGCTTTTTTTTAAAAATATATTGTAAAAATGTAGTTTCTATGACTGCGTACTTTTTATTCTATAACAACTCTCTCACAAAATAAAACTCTCACTTTTAACTATTCAGCAATCCATGAGCAGTATTTCGTTAATTTTGAGAATCATTTCGTCACTTAACCACATGACTTACGACGAAACTCTCAAATGCATGAAGAAAATTTTTCCTCAATTCAAAACCTCTTCGTAGTGTATTGTGGGAGTTTGCTAACTTGTTGACCAAGCTAGAATACAGACTAGGCAGTCGAAAATAAACTGACGAATTACGCTGACCAGTTGGTATGATTGTCAAGAAGTTGTCGTTGTACCAGGAAGGTCCGAAATTCGAATCCCTCTTCGGGAATGGGTTTAATTTTTCTATCTGTCCTTGCTATGGTGGGCCGTCTATATGGTGCCCACTGTAAAGTGATTGTTAAAGAAGTTAGATACATTAAGCACTACAAGTTTTTTTTTTTTCTTTTTTTTTTTTTTTTAGACAAAGNAAAGTTTTGTTTGGTTTGGGTTTTTTTTTTTTTTTTTTTTTTTTTTGGAAAAAAATAGAATGACGAAACGTTTCTTTAATTTTGACAAAATTCGTTTAATCGAAGAGTTGACGATAGTTATTTAGTCAACTTGAAGAAATTTTTGCTCTGATCATATACCTGGAAACACTTTCGTCAAAAGCAAAGAAAGTTTCGTAATAATCGAGTATCCATTTTTTACAGTGAATGGTTCTCATCAGGAAAATCTCGCATTTTCGATAGTATGCCCGAAACGCATAACACCGAAGTTATTTACAAACTTCTCTTTATTTGCAAACCACTCTCTGGATTATTATTTACAAATTAATCACAAACCACTTTTTTCTGGAAAAAAAAACACGATCTAAATTGGTGCTCCCGTTCACGAGTTATTAGCAAACATATATGCAGACAGACTTTAGCTTTTATATGTATAGAGATAGGGTGATTGTTTTTCCTCGAATTGACTGCAGCGGACAATGCAATTGTACTAAAAGAATGTAATTACAAATGAATGTAATTGTAAAAGAATGGAATTGCAATTGTGCTAAAAGAAATTCTTAAAAATATGTTAATTGTGCTAAATTGAAAGCATATTTTCTTGCAGAAGATATAAAAACCCCGTTAATTCTGGAAAAATTATATACAAATATTTTTTGTGAAGTTTCGGCTTCAACTTAAGTATTTACTACTATATTTGTTAAGAATTTATAAAAATTAATTGTCAATGATAATTGACAATTACCTTTCAAATTTCTTTTCGCAACGTGAGAGTAAGGGGCATAACTTAATTGCAATTGATTATATAATAAAAAAAATAATTTTTGATAAGCCCAACATATTTTTTACTTTTGTTAGCTTAAAAGCTTAATATGTATAGAGATGCCTCACATTACAGAACACTGACTGCCTCTAAAATACCTCTAAAGGATGTGCTTTTTTGCAATTTTGTCAATTAAATAGCTTTATTATTCAACTCAAATTACAAAGTTATTTAATTAAAATTACCAAAATATTCAAATTATACACTTCCGAATTACTCACTTAAAATTTTATCTATTTTTTCCTCATTTGGGATACTAAGTGGCAAAACTGAACAAGTATTGATTTCAAAATCCATACAATCTTCGGAAAATCTAATAAATTCGCGACGTGTGTCATTTTAATTATTCAATTGGCATAGAAGGAACTATAAATGACTTCTAAAATTCCGAAAAATTTTATCTTCTTTTTGAAGTATTTTATAAAAATTACTTAAATATTCAATTTAAATTACTCATTCAATTAATATATAGATGAATGATAATGTATGGAAAAGAGGAATGAGAATAGATGAATGATAATGTATGGTTTAGAGGAATGAGAATAGATGAAAGATAATGCAAGGAAAAGAAGAATGAGAATAGATGAATGTATGGAATAGATGTATGTATGGAACAGAAAAATGTATGGAATAGAGGAATGTATGGAATAAAAGAATGTATGGAATAAATGAATGAGAATAGATGAGTGTATGGAATAGATGAATGAGAATGTATGTCACGAAAATATATAATTTTAGGAACTTGTGCTAATTTGGAATATATTTTTGTGTTATTTTGACTTCATTATTTTAGACTTTAGTCAGTTTAAAAGTTCATTTCGCACAGATACCTCATTAAAAAATAAATAAATAAGTGACTTCAACGATATTGAGAAGCATTGTATTTTCTTTCGAATCCCTCAATTCTCAATTAATTTCAATTTCCCCCCTCTTATTGGAAGAATGGAGCAATTGTGACAAAAACAACAATGAGAGTCGTTTACAATAATAAAAAAAAACGAAAGCAATAACTAATATATTGGTGACATTTGTTCGTTTATGAGTTCGATTCGCAAATATATCTCACGCAAAAAAAAAAAAAAGTATATCAACGACTTTTAAAATTTGAAAATGTATTTTCTTTCGAATTATTCCTGCAAAAAATGCTGATTCTCTGACATTTCTTTGTTTCGTTAGGAAGAAGAAGAAAAAACATTCTGAAATTCACCCCATCATTCAGAATTTGAAAAATCCTGACTTTGCGATGCACAAAACCACGTGATGAGTAGAAGGACGGTCCAAAATCTGGTTTCTATGACGACTGCGATGTTGAGTGACAGCTGATTAGCTCCGCCCATTTCCAAAGCCAGAGATAAGCAAAGAAGCGTGTGGTAAGGGGAACGGGCGGTAAAACACGCTGCTCCTGCAAACAAGCTGCAGTCGCAGTAGAAAAAGCTAGTCTGGGGCAAACTGTTATACCGGACGCACGCATAGTGCCCAGCGTTCCCATTTCATGCCGTGAAACTGGTCAGGTGACGGTTCGAGAAACTGTTGTTTACCTTCTTGATTCAGATCGTCTATTTTCTTCATTTTCGATTCAGCCGCTGTTCTTGTTAACAGATTAGTTCGCTTTTTTTATGAATTTTTTATTATAGTTTTTATAAGAATGAATGATACTCATCAAATAATATTACCAAACCGGTATTTGAGAAGCATACAATGTTATTCGGCTTTCGAAGTTTTGCAGTAAATCAGCTAATTAAAATAATCGCAGTTTAATGGTGAAGAACTGTTCAAGACAGAAGTTTGTAATGAATGACTGATCAAAATTTCTGTTTCATAAAGCAACATAAACCAGAGTAGTTCATTTGAGCTGTTTTGGATTCTAATTTTTTTCCCGTCAGTTTTGGTTCGAGAATTCTATATAGGTACTGATAAGTTATTGACCAAGCAAAACGGCGACCTGCTCGACTTATCTGACGACCCAGTCCTCTTGCCTCTTGAGGAACCAGGAGGAGGTCGATTCAAAAGCCTCGTTGGTCAGCGAGCTATCAGCCCTGGGTCTGTCCTATGAGCCAACGGGACTGAGGGCGTCCAAGGTGGACACACTTGGGACCTGGCGTGGGCGCGGGGCTGGCCGGACCCTGCCCTTAATTCGGACAGACGACATGAAAATGGTACAATGTGCCGGTTGCGAAAGACCTATCATGGACAGATACATTTGCAGTGTACTAGACAGATCATGGCATGCAAAGTGCGTTGTATGCTGCGAATGTAAGTGTACACTCCAGGAAAAGTGTTATTCCAGGGAAGGTAAACTCTACTGCCGGAATGATTTTTTCAAGTAAGTTTCCCACTTTTGTCTTATAAAATGTTTGTTTATTTTTTTAACGTCGGGATCTATCCTTCGACTACGAGAAGATGGATATTCAATTGCGATTTTCTAATTTACTGGTATTTAATAAAAAATTGCGAAAGTTTAGCTTATAAGTTACGGAAAAGTAGACAGCAACATTTCTAATAAAATAGTTATTAATCACTAGAAGTTTCTTTTAATCAAGTAGTTTAGTTGACGAGTTTTTTCAAAGCATTAATTATCCAACAGACTTCTTTTAACTAAACATATTTGAAATCATTTCGCTTTAAACTTAAATTTCCAGAAAAATATTAAACTTAATGCCATGAAAAAAAAAAAATTCCCTCGTTTTAATTCACACTTCGGTATCAAGAAAAAATTCATGTTTGAGACTGCAATTAAAACTATTTTTATTTATCTCTTTCAATTTAGAGTCATTAATTTATTTACTCTATGATATCATTCATAGTTTCTTAGTTGAGTTCTATCTAATAGATTAGGAGCCATGAGAAAATTCGATTTGAAAACTTTTTTCAAGTTATGGCTTTTACAGCACTGTGACATTAAGCGTGGGTTTATTTATGAGTGCCAATTACTAAAAATGTTGCGCAGAAAAAAGAATAGAAAATTTATACAGATAGAAGAAAAAATATTCATTTGAAATCGATTAAAGTAATTGTATCTTTAAGTATGCGAGTAAAGTGACTTTAAAGTGTAACTATAATTTTTTCTAACTTTTATTCGCATTCAAAAATTTATGTAATTCTTGTAAGAAGGCTTTGATTTTGCACTATTTAATTTGCAGATTATCTAAAATGCCATAAAATATTTCCATCTTCTTTTATGTACAATAATAACTTTTTTTTGAAAATTTCTTGTTACAAAATATTTGAAATTATCTTTGGCACAGTTTTCTTTTTTTATTGAAACCAAACATTTTTAATAAAATTATCAACAGCTATATTTTTTAAACAGAGGTTAATATTAAATATAAATTAATGGTGCCTTTGCGATACAAGTATTCCCGATTTTCATTTCCCGATTTAATGATAATTATACTTAATAATTAAAATAAAATTTCCATTGCTCATTAAATCAGAAAAAAATACATTATTATAGCCAATTTTTTTTGTCAAACATTATTTTTCTATTGTGTTTAAGTTTTTTACATTAAGAATAATAACTGGCATTGATACATTGATACGAAATTCCATAGAACACTTCAAAAACTTATTTAAAGTATATGATTGTCGTTTGAGCCTATTAATTTCCCAACACACTTATCAAATAAATATTGTCCAAAAAAAATTTATCATTTTCAAATTAGCATCTGCGGTACTCTTCTTTTATCAATAAAAATATGACATTTACTGTAGCAGTATTTTTTATATACGTAAATGTAACATCAATTTCTTCTTATCCTTAAAGTTTTCGTTATCTTAAGACCATTGAAAAAAATTTCTGTAATAATATCAGATTATTGTTATTCTTTTGTAAATTCTATAGTTTTTCGTAGATCACAATATTTATGCTTATAGTAAATGGTATAATATTTTAAAATATTTATAATTAGGATATCTTATTTGAATTAATTTATTAAATGATTTTATTGAATCGTTATGACGGGGATAAAGATATGATTTTTTAATTCATTTAACTATCGATTTCTAAAACTAGCAACATTGATCTTTTCAATTTAAATGTCAGGTTTATATCCTTTATTGACTTTTTATATGTAAAATTATTTGAAGAAAACAATGATTCAGTGAAGAATTCATTATTAATATGCAAGCAAATTTTTTATCAGCCTAACTTATAAGACTAGTGTTACTATTTCCTTACTGATACGTTTTAGAAATATTCGAATAGTTATATATAAACGCATAACTAGTAGTTAAAAATAGTTTTTTTTCATGATGTTTCATATTTATAACTGTTACTAAAATTAACCAAAAATATAAAAATGTGTAAACGGAGAAGAAAATTCTGATAAATTTACCATAATTTATAGTAATAACATTTCTAGTAAAAAAAAACTGCATAATTTTGTTTAATAAAAACAAAATATATGATATTTAATCCATTCATTTGTTAAATTTTCCGTTCATATGGTGACAGTTTATCGGAAATAATGGTTTTCAAAATTATAGTTCGTATTATCACACATTTAGTAAAAATTACAAAACTGAAAAATAAATTTAATCGAATAAATTAGTTTTACGCCATGATCTAAGGTAGCATGAAAAAATTATTAAATTTTTGCTACATTTTCCAAATTTCACCACATATTATAAAAACACATTTTATTGTTAATTTACCAAAATCATTACCAAAGCACTTCGAACTTTTTGTGTATACATAGAGCCAGAAGCAGGGTAAATTTAACCACATTCTAGTAGTTTTGATTATGCTTTTTTTTCCTCCATGTAACACTTAAATATAGAAATTCAAAAAGTTTTTCAAAACTTTCTTCTAAACAAATTTAAGTTTGAATTATAAATCTGATTTAAAAAAAAAATTATATAAAGTTGCATCAATTTTAATATTTAAAAAAACGCATCGCCTAAACATCAAACATTTCAAATGAAAAAAAAAAAAATTCATTTCCATCCAAACAAACTAGCATTTAAGATTTATTTTAAATCTAAATCTTTCGAATTGGCGTCAGATTTTGAGTAATTGGCGTCTAATTCTTAAAAGTGATTTACGAGACTTTGAAGTCAGAAGATTAAGCAGCGCAAACCCAATGATTAAATTATGAGCCGGGCCGAGAGCACATATTTGCAGTGTCACTCATCCCTTTCCAATCGGGAATGACTAGATTAATAATTCAAGACTCTCTAATCTCAGCTACAATGATTCAGGGGTATTATTTATTTAACTTAAATATAAATTTCTAAATTCGATTTTGAGTTTTTTTTTTCTCTCTCCTCTTCTTTCGATATCATTTTTAATCTTTTCGATTCCATTCTTTTGGTTATGTTTCATTGTATTTCTGTTTAGAGAAAATCCAGCGAGGAAATGATATAATATTTCATTTTTTGATAGTGACAGTAAAATGAAGCTGGTAATTTGTTTTGGGAAGGGAAATAAGTTTTAAACATTGGGAAGTTTATTTAATTTTGGGTGAATTTTTGTATTTAAGTTTGGAATTTAATGAAAGAATATTTGACCTAATGATCTAAAAAGGTTTATAAAGCGTTTTTCTTTATATCTACAAGGGAAAAAAATATATTATCGATATTTTAAATCCATGTTTTGAAATTATAATAAAAATTTTGATATTTTATCTACAAGGTCTAAGTCAAAAAATGTGATAAAACAGATGCAATAAGTAGCTTTATATTAAGAAAAGCTATTTTTCAAATAACGTATTAAAGTTCATATCTTTGTCTTAAAAATCGTCTTAAAATGCTTATAACTTATTTTAAATTAGTTTTAATAAATTATTTATGCTTAAAATTGATATATTTGTTTCCTGAATAGTAAATTAACGTTTTATGATTAATTCTAATTTTAAAATGTATTTCTGATACAATGAGTAGGTAAAAATTTGTTACAGAAAAAAGATTTATGTTTTTGAACATGTTCACACCAAAATATTTCTTATTGATTCCAATTGTTTATAAGTTTATACATAAAAAAGTTTGAAGATGAGAATTAAATGCTAAAAAGTTTTGTTAACATGTATAGAATTATAATTTAAATAAACAGTTAATCGAACACACTATTACTTTCCCTGATGATCTTAAAAGGTATTTTTAAATTTCAAAAAGTGTATGTATATTTGAAATTAAAACTTTTATATTTTATCCATAATCTATTATAATTGCTTTCTGGTTAATTCTAAACATAACACAGAAGTAAATATTTAGAATTCTAATAAAATTATTTTTTTCCCAACTTCTATTATTTGCTTAAGGATAAAAAAAAATTAAGCATAACTTTTTTTTAAAATTGAAGCAGGGAAGGTAAATGTCAAATTAAGTTGTCAGTAAAAACTGAAACTTTGTTAGAAACCTTTTTAACGCGCATTTTCTCCGGAATACGAAAGACTGGTTGCCAATAATCTTAGCAAAAACTAATTAAAACCAAAGTATTCTGTCATATAGCAGACGACAAGATTTTTTTTCCCATCCTCACAACCTGCACAAAAAATGGCGGGTAATTTCTTTAGGGTGAATATATAGACTTTAAAATAAAACTGTTATTCATCGCTAACCACTCGAAACATTCGAGTTTTTATAAAGGAAAGCAGGTAAAAAAAGTGATGGTTGAAAATATGTTTTTTTCCCCCTTTCTTTTTTTTTTAAAAAAGGAAACGAAGAAAAAAAATTGGACGACTTCGCAACAAACGATGTTTTAATGTCCCTACATAAAATAAATAAAAAAGAATGAAAACAAAGACTAATTACAGCAGCACGTAAGGGGAGCAAGGAATATAATATACACAAATGTAATTACATAAATCATCCATAAAATTTAAATGAAAGAAGGTGAATTGGTTTAAAATATGTTTCTTATAAAAGTGGTAAAACTTACAATTTTTACTTTTGGTTATAGTCTTAATAAAGTATTTACATTTAAAAGAGGAATTAAAAGTTAATTGTTATTTCCAACATTTTTATTTCGAAAATTCATTTTAGTTGAAATAGAAATATTTGAAACATTTTTAAGAGAAGAGTATATTTTTAATTATAACATCTGAGCAAATTATATATTAGAATTCAGTTTTTATTGCACACGTTCTAAAACTATTAATTCGCATTATTTAATTAACTAGTATTAATTTATTTCAATTAATTAGTATTATAGTACAATTCATCCATTTAATTTATAGTATTAAAAATTTTACTTACGTAATTTTCTAAAGAATAAATTGTTTTTTGGGCACAATAAGTTAATTCGATGTTTGAGAATTTTCTCTTAAAGAAATCTTTATATAAACTTGAATTCGTTGAACATGCATAGTTTTGAAAGTTATTTAA